CAGACTCGCCAAATCTCATCCATGTTGAGGTTAGAAACATCACTGGTTTGGTTACAATTCCCAGGTTAAAAAAATAATAACTCCAGCTCCGTGGGTTTGAGACTTGTCTCCAACTGGAAATCCCAGAACTCCTGACAGTTCCTCTACCCTGACTGGTGTGTCATTTGTGTGACTGTCATGGAGCCATTATTAGTGTGGGAAACCACATAAACCAATAATTTCACAGTTAATGGGAGGCAGAAAAACATCAGACTCGTCTCTTTTTTTCTAACAGTACCAAGGTAGTGATTTGTAATTATTGTTAATTTTGCCAATTTTTCTGCTCCATTAACTTGTTCTCTTCTGAAAGTGTTTGACTATTTGACTGTTAGATCACCACTGACGTACCTGTGCAATGCACAGGAAGTGTTGTTGATGGAGATCTGATGACAGGAAGTCAGCCATTATCGCTTCTCCCCACTTTCTCTCAAGATTCAAAGACGTGGCAATCTGGCTGAATTCGTAGCCATCTTGCCTCTGAGTTAGAAGGTTGGGGCTTTGAACTCAGTTTAGTGCAATATTGGGGAGATGCTACATTGTTGGAGGGGTCATCTTTTGGAAGACATGTTAAACCGAGGTACTGTCTGCCTGTTGAGGTGAATGTTAATGGTTCCATGGCACTATTCAAACAAGAGAAGGAAGTTTCTCACAATGTCTCGGCCAACAAACCCCTAAATAAAATGGCTCACTCACTCCATGGCTTTTGGGAGATATTGCTAAGTGTAAATTGACTGCCTCTAAAATCTTGTGAAGCATTTTTGAAATGTATTGATGATGTGATAAGGCACTATAACAAACGCAAGTATTATATTATAAAAATACTGTTGCTTCCTCCTCCCACATAATCACCAATTCTAACAAAACCTATTCAGTTGTCTGCTATTCCAACTCATTATTTCCCAGAACCTCAGGATGATGGAAGCCCTTCCTCATTCAGTCTTCCTTTCTCTGACAATCTAAAGGCTTTTAAACCCCAACCTTGGTGTCATCCCCCATCACTTAATTGATCTCACCCTCGCTCCTACTCCCAATCCTGGTAGTGTCCAGCCTTGGCCCTGCATCTTGATTTTTCACTAGAGATTCCGCTGCCAATGTGCTTTTTGAACCAGCTACTAGGAGATATGTAAGGGTGCCTTTTGCTCCAACTGAGTTTCCTCAAGTCCAAGTTGTCTGCAAAATTTTTGGAAGCATAACAATGTGCTAAAACAGTCAGCAACACTTCTTTCTGAAAATCACATTCAAACTTGACAAGAGGTGAGTAACTGTAATGGATAAACTATAGTGGAGTCCTGTAGCTCAGTGGTTAGAGCACTCGCTTTGCAAGTGAGAGACCTGAGTTCAATTCCAGGCAGGGCGAAACCTTGGGCAAGTTTCCTTACTCCACACGCCTAATAATAATCCCTCAAAAAAAAACAATAATAAATTGGTCATTTTCAATCCATGACTGTTTGTGGGACATTGCTGTGCGCAATTGGCTGCCGCGTTCGCCCACAAATATACAGTCAATTCACTTTACAGTGTTTTCTGTGAAGCGCTTTGGGATGTCCTCCCGACTTGAAAAGCGCTATATCAAATGCAAGGATTATTATTATTATTATTATTATTATAAAACCTTGCAAACTAAAGCCTCAGCTGGTCCAGCAGCACAAAGCTTGCCAGGCAGTGTTCGCCATGGTAAGCTTCACGGTTTGGGCTGGTTAATCTCTAAATCCCCAGTGCACACACTCCAGGGCCCCTATTACTTTCCGGGAGTAGGTAGCAGAGTGCATCCCTCCGGAGAGAGAGAGAGAGTACTCTATATCAAACAAAAGGAAATTCCCACACATGATTGTTTGGCTTGGATGCTCTTAAGCACAGTAATGGGTTTCCGCCTGTGTCTCTAACGCGAGCAAAGACCTTTAACTGAATAAACATTTTCTTTACAAGAAAAGCTGAGAGTCTGGAGATAGTAATTATATTCAGTGACACTCCACCCTTGAACCAAGGATCTTATCAGCACCATTACAGCCATTTGTTCGTTTACGCTTACGTTGGAGTGAAACTGTGTTAAGCCAGCTTCTCCTGCCCGCTGGCCCCACGATTCTAAGTCCTGCTCCACCTCACCCAGTTACAAAGCACCTTGAGCACACAGTAGCAGGAAGCTGCTGAACAGGCAGCGGGGGCTGCACACACTCAAATCCAGACCTAGAAAGAATTTGTGAAATCTGTCCACTGAAAGAAGAAATGTAGCACCTTAAATATTCATTGCATTTACAAGTGAATTTCCACTGCGAGTGAGCAGCAGACTGAGGCTACAGAGTTAGACGAGCACAAATCTAACAAGCTCACAATCTGAATTGTAAAAGCCCATATTGATTTATTGACGCGAGGATGAAATGGATACATACTCAGTGAAATAAGGAGGGCTTCCTGTGTTAAAACATACGTGTTTTCAGGCTGAACATTTCCTAGGATTTACAATCTCTTGTAATTTATTTAGTCTCTTTCGCTGAATACCTATGTCATGTGTAAAATAGATTGTCTACTTGGAAATATCAAGTCTGAATTCCCTTTTGAGGGCTGGACATCCTATGCAGCTTGCAGAATGATTTATCGCCTTCATTGCATAAACTGTTCCCGAGACTACTCTACGAGACTGTAATGTGCACAACATCAATGTGAAAGGTAGAATATGGAGTAGAACAGAAGTGTAAATCCATATTAGCTTTCAATAGAGGACTAGATAAATACCTAAAAAGGAGCAAGCTACAGTGGTTTGGGGAAAGTGCAGGTAAATAGGACTGAAAGGATTGCTCTTAAAAGAGCCGCAGAGACACGATGGGTCAAATGGCCTTCTTCTGTGCTGTAAATTTCATGATACTATATGCACAGTACTGAAGGACATTCTGTTCATCGGGCAAAATAAATTTAACCAACATGAAGTCTCCAATATGACAGACACAGAATAGCAGGAAAGGGGAAAGCCTGCAAAGAGAGTTAGCTTCCATCATTCCCTCCCCAACCCATTTGGACTCCGATTTGCCAATACAAAGTGGCACTGAGTGGGGCTGGTTGGATTCCTGCAGAAATGCTTTCAGTCATCTTTCCCCTCCTGATCCCCCTCAGCTTGGGTGCCAGCCAGAACTGTCGAGCGCTTTGGGATGTTCTCCCGACCTGAAGGGGCCTATATAAGTGTAAATTGTATGGTATAGTGAGGAGCGTCACTCTGGCCCACTTGTGCACATTTCCTCGAAGCCAGCTTGAGCAGTATTGTCAGTGGCCTGGGAGCAAGTGGCTTATTTGCCTTTCCTTTCAAAGAAGGGAAATGGTGAACAATACATGTCACCTAAAGATGGAAGACGAATAGGGGAGGGAGGGGAGGGATTAAAGTGGGAAAGAAACTGAAAATTCAAACCTAGACATTTTCATTGTGCTGCATAAATGCTACCGCAGTGTTCAGAACTACAGTAAAGACGATGTAAGCAATGCACCAGCGTGAGCTGAATAGAGTCTTTGTAAGACATGAACACAAGAGCCATTCTCTGGTTTCAAGAGTAGTATGAGCCACATTTGGTTATTATGAGAACAGGAATATAAAGCATTAGCAAATAGATTAAACAAATAATGCTGTCTGATTGAGCATTAATCCCCGGTAAAGGTCCCATGTTCTAATATTATTAGTTGAGTTTCTAATTCGCGGGATTCTCTTGAACTAAACTTCGCACTAATATCTGCATTGTTTAAATGTCAGGAGGTTTCTATTTGGAGAGCAGAAAGCTTTTTAAATAGGAGGGATTAAAATGTACATTTTAACAAGGAATGTCTACCTTAGTTGCCCCCACCCCACCATTCTTTACACTAATTCAAAGTTATATTTATCTGAAATTTATATCAAATGCAAGGATTATTATTATTACTGTTTTTTACAACTGCATTCTAAGGCCACCTTGTGTAAGCGATTTGACCCTGGACAGATTTAGCCTTCGAGGAGCTGATAGTCTCAACCAAGGTAACCCCCTTGGCAGAGGTCCAGACAGACAATGTGGCCACAACCTCTCTGCCAGAGCTCATCTTGACCTGACAACCAGGGTGTGCAAGAGTCGTCAAGGATATCAAGAATCTGGGGGAAAAAAAGCTGGGGAAATGGGATTAAATGATCTAACAAAATGGTAGTACAGGCTCGAGTGCCTGAATGGCTTCCTTCTGATCCTACCTATGTGAAGGGTGTTATATAAATGCAAGTTAGAATGGAAAAACAGGCCACATGGGTTAGAGACTTACTCAGCTCGATTTCATAACAATCGGCTTTGCATTCTGCACTTGACTGGAGATTATAGCAGAGGGGATAAATACGTTATATGTTCAAAGCCTCATTGGGCACTTTGTGTGAGAATAATACTTCCTTCTCTTTGCAAATGGTAGCATGGGGTCTTTAAAGCCCCTTCCTGTGAGTTTCAAAGTGCTCTGATAGTCGAGGCTGGCGATCCATTGGAGCACAAGTCATTGGAAGAGATGACTTTCAGGTGAAATTTTAAATCATGGTCTCAAATCTGCCTGTTCAGGAAGATTTTAAAGATCCCATGGTATTCCTTGCAAAAAGGTTTCACCCCGAGTCCTGGCCAATGTATGTCCTTTTGGATTACACAAGAGATAGACTAATATTCTTGCATATCTGCAAGGAAACCTTTCAAAGCAGTGTTGGGGGTGGTGGTGTAGGAAAGGTGCCATAAAACCATTCAAACAGTTTACAAATTTCTTAAATTCTGAGTCTGGATGTGCCGATGGCAGAGACATGCCCCATCCTCCAACATCTTCCTCAGGGCCAACTTCCCTGAATCCTGCTTGTGTGTTCGACTCCCAGTGTTTGAGTGTCAGTTAGTGGGCTTGTGGCATTACTCAGCATATCACAAACAAGCCCAAAATTACAACATAAAGATACAGCAAAGTGCAAATGACTTTCGGAATGAGAGTAAAGAACTCACTTGAACATCTTTGTACTTGTCTTTTAAATCCAAGAGTCGATGGTAGGCCTTAATAGCTCGCTGAACTCTCCGACATCAATACAGGTGACAATGTAGTTCTCCCAGATCTGCCAGTGCTCATAATTACACTTGATGGCTTCCTGGAGTGATCGGAGGGCTTTTGTTCTACAGGACAGACAGCGCAACATTTAGGTACAACTCCTTAAAGACGTGGATCGACTGCAAAATCATCCAGTACTAATGTCTAATGAGCAGTCCAATACAGGAGGTAGTTTTTACTCCTCCCTGTTCATTAAGATCACTAATGGGGCACCAATATCTGACAGCAGTGCGCATTAGTTCAGTGACATTTGTCACCTGACAACTTGTCATTGGGAAATATATAGACACATATTTTAAAAATCCTTACATTTCATATAGGACATTTCGCATCAGGAAGGCATCTCAAAGCACTTCACAAGCTATGCTGGAAAGTGTAGTGACTGGCTGTTTTGTGCACAAAAGTACTGATTCACCACACACTGATTTATTCTTGGTGCTACAAGGTCAACAATTAGCCCAAAGTTTCAGATGTGATCTGAATGTGTAACAGCTTTCGTCTGGAGGGTATTACAAGTCTTCAGGCCAATATTTCACTGTTATAGCCCTCAAGTTAGTCAATATATTTACATCAAATTAATAATGATTGTGGTCTGGGCAGTTAGCTGATCTCAGTTAATGCAGGAGCGCGAACCATTGCTGATATTTGTGTCAGCTTGGCTCAGTTGGTATCACTCTCGCCTCCAAGTCAGAAGGTTGTTGAGTCAAGCTACTCATCGGGACTTGTAAACCTTCATTGTTTAAGCTGATCCGCCAATACAGAGCAGGGGGTGCACTGCACTGTTGTAGGTGCCGTCCTTCGGATAAGATGTTAAACTGAGTTCCTATCTGCCTGTTCAAGTGGACATTAAAGATCATAATATTATAATAAAGATAGTTTGTTAAGTTAAACCATATGCCTATCCTATCAGTGGAAGACACATCCTCTGCTAACCCAAAAGCGGTCCCATTATTACTGCCATAGACATGCTTCTTTGCAGAGTGATAAAGGCTGTTGATGTGCACAAACTGCTCAGTGAATCCTCCACACCAAATGAACACCCCTACCCCCGCTACACATAAATGTTACCACTTGGTTAAATCAAGTCTCACAGTAGAATATGTACCAATGACTTACTTTTGTTTTAATCGGATGTATGCAGTTGACAGATTGTTCCAAGCTTCTGCATTCTGAAAGCATAGGAAAATACGATTAAGGTGAATCTACCTCTTCAACCAAACATTACAGATGTAGAACAGGTTACAAATCAGCACATTGAGAATGAATTGATTTGAATTCATTCCCTCATAAAAGAACCTTTACCTTCATGTGGATGGGGGAGCTGGGGGGGGGCATGAGGGGAAACTCAGTTGACAGGAAGGAAAAGCTTTATGGATAATAACTGCTCCCAGTTTCAAAGAGATAAGATTCCTGTATAAATACAACATAATCATTTTGATGTTACTGAGACCATGGAAATATCACGTACAGAACGCAACTACTATAGTCGGTGTTAAAAAACAGACATCAGTCTGCTAGAATACTGTACTCATACTATATGTGTAATGGTCGGCTGAGAGCTTCGCATTTTCTGAATTGACTGGGGGTGCAGGGGGGGGGGGGGGGTGGATTTTATGGTCTTAGGATCAGTCACTTCCCTTAGGATATTAAATAAACTGAGGTAGGGCCCATAACGGACCAAATTATACGCAGTCTGTGGAACCGAAAAGCGAAATGATCTTTTTTCATTCCATCATTTTTTAAATAGAACTCGATAAACTGGATCGGCACCAGTGTATAGTGAAGCCATCTGTCTTTTCCATCAGTCACAGTACTTCTTTCTCACAGTGGTTCCCATCTCCCTCACACTGAGTTCTGTCCTGCCCATTTGTGGAGTCCTGTAGCTTAGTGGTTAGAGCACTTGCCTTGCAAGCAAGAGGACCTGGATTGTTGGGTCGATTGGAGAATTACTTTTTCGGGGGTAAATATTCCTTCAAAATAAATTAACATAACCTGGTCACTCAGTCCATGACTGTGTGTGAGCCACTGCAGTGCGCAAATGGCTGCTGGGTTTTGTCCACAAAATATACAGTCAATTCACTTTAGAATATATTCTGTGAAGCGCTTTGAGACGTCTTGAAGATGTGATAAGGCGCTATATCAAATGCAAGGATTATTATTTTAGGGATTTGGGGATATAATGTTGAATATTCTCAAAATGTTTCATTACTAATTAATCATCATTTTAAACAACTGTGTTTAACATTTAGTTTTTTTAAAAAATTAATAGGAGAAACATGTTAGGCTCAAAATTCCAGTTGACAAGGACTCTGAAAGGGTTGATGGTATAATTTCCCCCCACCTGTTCAGTTGCTCTGAGATAGTCTGGGAGGGGGACCACACACACACACACATCATCCCTAGAACCATTCATCAAGTGGGAAGTGGCAGGATCGATCACAGGCTGCGGCCCTCTGATGGTGTAGTCGGCACCTGGTAACCGCACCCCCCGGGAACCAGCAGTTTACGAGCCTTTGGGAACCCACTGTTCCCTTCAGAGTTCAAACTCTCCAACTACATTTCATTTCTTTGAATGTTGCATCACCAAAACGCTAGCAGCTCTGTCTCTCTATGTCTGGCAATGGCAGCAGATACCTCCACAAATCTATAGAGTTCCTTCCACTGGATTAATAAATCCTTGTTAAATGTTTGCCCAGAATGCAGGATCTCTTAACGACAAAGGGAAGGGGCAAGAGAGAGAAAAAGAGAACGGAAGGGATAGATAAAGAAAGGGAGGGGAAGAGAGAGGGAGAAAGGAAGAGAAAGAAAGAGAATAGAGGAGAGGGAGAAAGAAAAAATGGAAGGGGAGAGAGACTTTATATCATGGGATGATGTCATTCTGAACTAATATTGATAATAATCATAATCCTTGCATTTGATATAGCACTTTTCACATCTTCTAGACGTCTCAAAGCGCTTCAAAGAATATACTGTAAAGTATATTCTATATATACATATGAGTGTATATTTGTGGGCAAAACACGGCAGCCAACTGCGCAAAGCAGTGTCCCACAAACAGTCGTGGATTGAAGTGGCCAATTTTATTATTATTGTTTTTCTCTTGAGGGATTATTATCAGGCGTGTGAAGTAAGGAAACTTGCCCAAAGTTTCGCCCTCTCGGGAATTGGACCCAGTTCTCTCGCTTGCAAGGCGAGTGCTCTAATCACTGAGCTACAGGACACCTATGTTCAGGAAATTCTAGGCTCACATCAGCTCACTCTGGATCTAATCCACTGTTAAACACATTTTCCTACTACCCTCTCCCAGACTGTAATACTCAAATCTTAAATAGGACATTAAAAATTCAGAAGCAGCCAAAAATAAATACCAGGCCTGTTTAACCGAGCACATACTGTGGCATGTTTTGAAGCCAATTCTTTATATAACGCACTGATCATTAAAACTATTATAAGCACATTGTGCAGAAAGTGCTGACAGTAACACGTGTGTTGTACAACAGCAGTCAGTGCATGGGGTTAAAAGGTCACTTTGGATGCATTCAATATGGCAGATTCCATACAAAAGGTTGGGGGAAAATAAGCCTTTTGGCTATCATATTTTCCACAAACATATGCAACTTTTTCTTTCCATGGATTTACCCATGTAATTAATATTCAGCGGAGATAGAGGTTCTCCAAAGCCATTGGAATATTTAACCCTATAGGGTACTGATCCTGGGCATTTAACAAGGCCTGTTTATCAGCTCTATCGAATGCTCAGTTTACACTCCAAAGTTTCCCATTACATCAATGTTCTTTTGAAGGCAAGGTGCCCAAAATAGTACACAATGTCACATGTAAATGTATGTTTCATCAATGTATGTAAGAGAAACTTGATTTTAATAATACTTCCATTTGATATAGAACCTTTCATGTCACGAGGGTATGGCAAAACACTTCAGATGATTTACTGGAAAGTCCAGTGACTGTATATTTGTAGTCAAATTATCAGTGTATTTGAGGCATACATGAGAGAGAAGGATAGATATAGGTGAAGGGAATGGGTGGGGGCTTGTGTTACTAAGAAATCCCGTTGTGGTTTGTGAGGCGATCTTCCTAGAGGAGAACCAGTCAAGTCTGCTCAGCACTTTTCCCCCCTTTAATAGGATGGGCGAGAAGTGTGACTTTGTATGTAGAAGATCCCAGGTGCATTACTGAGTGGCTCCAAAGTACTGTGTCACATCTCCACCTGAAATCACTACTTTAAATATACAGAAGTGGGCATCAGTGAACACAGAATTTCAGAGGAATGTCTTAAGAGACAAAATAGTGCTCCAGGATAAGTGGCACAATCAAGTATAAGGTGGATCCCATCTTGTCATGTTTACATTAAGACCCAATGGCTTTATCTCGAGTGAAAACTTGGGAGAGGTAAAGAGGAGATCCGGTTACTTCCTGCATCACATCAAACCAAGAAGAGCTTGCTTCCATGCAGCTTTAATATTCCAAAGGCGAAGGGGAGATGCTGGTTTATGGAAGCATCAGACTTGGAGATAGTACAGCAATCCTTCGTTCGGCTCTAAAATCAAATGGAAATTTGACAAGGAGACAAAGCTTGGCTCAATGGCTCCAGTTTGTAATCTTCATTTACAGAACCAACACGAGCTTAACTCCTTGCTGATTCCAAAAGCGGAGAACTTGATTTTACACAGCTCCAATTCAATGCAAATGGGTCTCCTGGCACAGATTGTCCAGAGTACAAGGAACACAAGTGGCAGCGGAGTCAACCCAAGACTATGTGTTCCACCTCATCCATCTGACTTATTTTAAATGGGAATTAGAAGATGCTTGAAAAAGAGAAATACTAGAGGGCATGGAGAGTGAGCTTGGAATAGATTAGGTGACTCACGCAGAGAAAAAAAACACCAGAGTGGGTTTGATGAGCCAAATGCCCAGTTTCTGTCCTGTACTTCTCTATGACTGTGAAGAGGCTGGCAAGGGCTGGGTGGGCACAGTTCCAGACTCAGCTTTAATATTCCAGAGGCAAAGCGGAGCTGCTCTTTATGGAAGCAGGGCAGATTCCTACTGGGAATAGATCTGTGCCCAGGAGAGGATTTGAAATTGTGTGCAGGGCCTGAATGAGTGCCGACAACAAGACCAGTCAAACGGACCCCCTCATTCCTGGCTTTTAGTGAATTAGAAATGTTAACTGTGCAGCAGTGTGTATGTCCAGCTAAGGCTGATCTCACTGCTGAGGACTCGAGCTCGGAGTCTCATTGATGAGCAATGCAAGGTTATCAACCATTAACTATGCCCTGGATTACTGTGGACCTGTCTGACTTTACCAGGTGTGTTTCCTCAGTAACATCACAATCCCATGGAGATGCCACTTACCTCTACCGCTTTTCACTGGTCTGTTTTAATATTACAATAAACCTGCTCAGTGCAACAGCAATGAAATGTGCTAAAGATCCCAAATCCTCCCCATGGCAGATGAGATTAAACATTTTGCCACAGCATAAACATACTGTATAAGAATGAGACACATTTCTATTATATATTATCAGCACTGAATTAAAGATAGCACTAAAGCACCTTTAAGTAGCATGCGGTTAAGAAACAGTCCAAAGTTTTTAGGCTTCTGCTTTCCCTCAGGGGAATTGGGATATTAAACGTCCATTAGTTATATGAGTTCTTGATACTTATGGCAGTCACTAGACGTAGATCAAAAATATTACCTTTTATTCCATCTTGGTGGCTTGTCTGAATTATGACTGAATCGTGCTCAAGATTCCTGGCATTCTGTGCTCTCTTAGGTCAGAGCTCTATTCTGCTCCTCCCCACATCAGCACAGCTGAGATTATAACTCAGTACAAGGCAGATCACAGGAGCAGAATGGCATCACATCCCTGAGTGGCTCTAGTTGTGTGGAGCAAATTAACCTGACATCTGATCACTCGGGACAATTCAATGAGACAGCGTGAAGAATAATTGGCACCTTATAATAAATAATAATCCTTGCATTTGATATAGCGCCTTATCACTTTGTGGAAACATCTCAAAGCGCTTCAAAAAATATACTTTAAAGCAGTGTGACTTTAAGGTACAATGTTGAGTTTGCTGACTAACACACAGTCTCTATACTTCACAGTAAACCTTGAGACATTTCAACTATGTAATAGGGGCTGTATCAAATGCAAGGATTATTTTTTATTATTAATATCTGATATTCGCAAATCGGCAATTGAGGTGTCTGAAAGACAGCACTAATGCAGGAAACAGACTGTAGAGTCAAAGACCACCGGTGCTTTTCCCTATGCAACCTTTTTTCACACTATGCCAGCCTTCAAAAATCATAAACAGGTAAGAGTGGACCCGAGGCACAAACTATCCACAATTAGACGCTACCCATCCTGTTGCAAATATGTATTGCAAATGAACTTCCCAATGTACTTCTTTTCTCTCTGTAATCAGATGGGGGGGTTCCCCTCAGAGTTTTGACTTCAGTCTATAAATTTATCAAAGCACGGCTTCCAATACGCACAGATTTATAACGAAAGAGCACTCCGCACTATCACAAAGAGTAGAAAAATGTACGCACTAGGGACACTGGAGACAGGCTACCCCTTCAGATCGTTGTAGACAGTCTCGAACATGAGAGGTGCTGTACTTAAACCGAAAGGGATCTTTATGGAAGTCATTACTGCACCAGATGAAACTCTACTCACATCAGGTTCCAACATCACACATTTCTGAAATGCTTTAGCGGCTCCTTCAAAGTCTTCCAATGCGAGATAGGCACAACCCATTGAAAACCAGAGTCCGAGCTGGGAAAGAGAAAAGAATAGATTGCATTTTTTTTTATTTTCGACTCCATTCATAAGCCAACCAAATCCTTCAGTGTCTCAAATCCATAATAATGCACAAAACTGCTGTGGCCAACTCTAAATCTTAGCTAGGAACTTGACACTTTTTTAATCCTTGAATTTTCTTTTGTGTGAAGCTGTCTGACTCTTTTTTGGATTCTACTGGAGTACAGTTCCACAAATGTCCTCTGCCAGCTTGGAAAAGTCACCATAAATGATGGTGAAAGCTTAATAGTAAATGTTGGCAGACTATTGGACTCTGCGGGGCATCAACACAACCACACCCACCCACACACAAAGAAACATACACACATACAAATAGAGAGACACACACATACACACGTATGCACACAGAACAACAAAAAGTCGGGACAACGTCTCAAGGTGCTGGGCAATCGAGGGTTTGCAACCAAGCTAGGGGATGAATTCAGGAGGGCTGGAGGCCAAAGAGGTTGGGGGAGGGGGGAGAAGACAAGCGAAGTTCCATACTGGTTCAGTGAGGTGAAGAGTGTATTCATGTGTAGTGATGTTGTCAGCGCCTGAGGTGTGGAGGTGCAGATTGGAGCCAAGCAGGAGAGTCTCTGTCTTGTCAACATTCAACTGGAGGAAGTTAGCTCTCATTCAGACTGGATGTCCGACAGGCAATCGTCAGAACCACAGCAACTGCTCCTGCGGGGGCAGGAGCAGAAGCCGTTGGCAGAGATACAAAGTGGAGCGTTGGGATAGGTAAGAATGAAACCAGGCAAGGACAGAACTGTAAAGTTGAAGCTGAGAGGCAGGGAGGTGGAGAAGAATAGAATGGTCAACATACATACAAATATACATCCACATACATACACATTTGTACACATGCATACAAACACACATACAGATACACACACAAGCATATAAGCACACATAAAGCACCTCTCTGGCGGGGTGGATGTGGTTACTGGTGAGCACAGAAGTAGGAAACCTTAGCTGACTTTTCCCTTCCTAACCCAGGGCACCGGAGCTAAGGGCAGTGCAAGAACTGCTGTCCCAGCTGAGATCACATTGATGGCCGTATTAAAATATTACTGTTCATGCTCACGTGAACAGCAACAGTTTCCGCCACCAGTGCCCACTCTTTTGGCAAACAGAGGAATTAAACTTCACATTTGACAAGATGTGGCTTTTAATTAACTTTTATGCAGATCTGCTGATTGATTTATTCTTTGGAAAAGTAGAAAAACACAGCTCAGCAATTGCTGCTCAAAAAACAATTAGATCAAATTAGTCTGCCGTACGTGGAAATGAGTGTGGCTGTACTGAGTGTTGGTGGAGTGCTTACACATGTTGAGTCAACGACCAGTGACTTGACAATATTTGGTTTAAAGCAAGCAAAGAAACCAGGAGCTTCTATTGCCAGCCCCTCCCACCCCCCACACACACACCACAACCCCCGCGCCCCCCTTACCCACTCCACTAGGCTCGCTTAGTCAAATGGCAGTCACTCCAACAAGGCATTTTAATTTTTAATGCAATACGCCATTAACAGACACAGAACACATTCGATTTTTGATCCCAAACGCACACAAGTGTCCGTTAACCTACAAGCACATGAGGACACCTCTCTTTACTCCTGGATGAAGCAAGGACAAGGTTTGAGTTGTCAGGGAAGAAACCCAACCAGAGATGCTTTGAGAGTCAAAACACATTTCGTCAATTTCATCATTGAACAGCTTTTTACATTTGCTGTGCCACCCCTTTTATCCAACAAGTTAGTTGCAAATGTTTGCAAATCACAAGTCATTACGCTAATATCAACTTCCGTTTGCAAATTAAATTGCATTATTGTCTCCATAATTCGCTGTATAATCTTTTTAAAAAAAAACACAGAGCAAATGCCCATCCCAGGCAAACGGCCTTTTGCCTTAAAATCTTTTGTCAGAATTTTGGAGCTTTTCACAACCAAGAAACTCTTGACAGCAAAAACAGCAAAAATAAAGGCCACTATCACGCTTTCCTGTGGTACGAATCTAGCCTAAATATCATTTGTGCCTCCTGGCTTGTCGGGGATCAATTATGGAATGGGTTTAGTGTGCCATTCAGCTGTCAGCCTTTATGCCAATGAGAATCTGAATTATCTCAGGATAAGGTGCTCTGAACATATTGGCTCGGATAAAAATGCAGACTTACCCAATCCAACAGGAAAAGGAAGCACTGGGAGAGGAAATCACTGACAGGTGTGAGCCAGCCCGGTCAAAAGCAATGATAACCTCTCTATGGCTGTTTGTGCGACATTTTGCCCACAAAATATACAGTAAATTCACTTTACAGTATATTCTGTCAAGCGCTTTGAGACATCTCAAAGACGTGATAAGGTGCAATAACAAATGCAAGGATTTTTATTATTATTGCTGTGCACAAATTGGCTTTGCAATCACCTACAAAATACAGTCAATCCACATTACAGTATACCTGGTGAAGTAAACACTTTGAGACATCTGAATTATGCGATAAGACGATACTTGAAAGTGCAAGAATTATTAGCATTCTTATTAGAATTATTTCAAGACAAACCTCAGGTGCTACAGTTCAACAGACACTATTTATTTCCTTTGTTTTCAAATGTAGAACAAAATGAAACGAAAGGGAATTAAAAAATAATGATGATCATTATTATTATAACCTGCAGTGGTTAGCTTGTTGTCCTACCTGAAGGGGGTTGAGCTGGACCGATTGCTCGAAGCACTCCACGCACTCTCTGAACTGATGGTTGCGGAGAAAGAGTAACCCCTTCGAGCGCTGGGCACGGGCACTGCGGTGCTTGGAGAGCTCCCACGCCTTGTCATAGTACTGGTGCTCATCCAGCACGTCTCCCAGCAGGCAGTACAGGGCTGGCGTCTCCGTCCTCTCCAGCTCTCTGCGGAGAATCTCCTCTGACTGAAGAAAACATCAGTGAGAGTGAACACAACTCGGCTGGACTTGCAGTAGGTACAGGGAAAGTAAGCTGCAAGTGGGGCTCCACTGCAACGCACCCTGGAGTGACCATTTTCTCTCCCTCCCTCAGCTCCTTTTAACCACCCGACAGAAAAATGCTCTACATAAATGTAAATTTGTACTGTTAAAGACTAAAGTATAAGGCAACCCACTCATCAGCAATGCCTAGGCTGAAACAAAACCAGACGGGGACAGAGTCGGCCAGCCCAAGCTGCCCTTTTGATAGCACTGTTACTCAGTGTGACAGGGAGCAGCATGAACGGGGGAGGTGGGGGGAGCTGCTGGAAGAATGGTATCATGATGATTGACCAAAGCTCTGGCATCACAATCAATCTAACCCTCACAATGCGAGTTAGAAGCAAACTCAGGACTCATGATGCTCATGTTATCAACCGTACAGCTTCTTTCCCTCATCAGGTTATCAGCTACTGTCAGGGGCAGAGAGGTACCCCAGATTTGTGAGGTACAGGGGCAACCAACCGAGTCACATCTGAGTGTGTGAGCTGGGACTGAGTGTGAGATCAGTCTGAGCTGGGTCAGTGTGAACATGTGTTGGAGCAGTAGAGTGTGAGCTGGGCCTGAGATTCAGTGTGAGCCAGAGCTGAGTGTGAGACAGCGAGCACAGGCAGTTCGGACAGGTGGCATTCAGAGCACGACAGCAACAAACAAAAGCTCTGTTCCAGTGATGTAAAAAAAAGATTGTATTTTGTGAGGCCAGAAACGAAATTGAACATTCATCAACAACTGAATGCAATCTGTGACTGAGTTTTCAAGAGATTAAACCAAGCTGCCAAAAAAAAACCACAGTGCTATATTGTTTCCCTCCCCCAACCCCAGCCACCCACCGCTACACTGGGGGAAGTTTCAACAAGAAAACAAAAGTTGGTCTCAGTCTGGTCAGTGAATGTAGATGTCCTGTGTCCTCACAGACTGGTATACATATGATCACTGAAACAGCACCAGGCAGAGGGAGATGGGGCCAAGGTAAATATCAAGAGTAATTCCCCCGTGCAGTGATTCAGATGCAATTCGATTCCCAGCAGAGTGAAACCTTAGGCAAGTTTCCTTCTCCCTCCACTCAAGAGGGCTCCGGTCTGCTTCACGTCCCCTGCCTCGCTCACCCCATCATTGGCAAGTAGGCCTTCTGCCACTCTGCCCCCACCCTCTGGAACTCCATCCCAGTTCCTCCGCCTCGCCCCTTACTTGTCACCTTCAAGACCCATCTCAATAGCCTCCTCTTCGACCATGCTTTCGATCACCCTACTTCCCCCTTTCCCCTCCACCCTCCCCAATCCCGACCCCCAGCTCGGGTCCGAAATTCTAACCGTCCAGCACCTTGGGACATCCTCCTGACTTGAAAGGTGTTTTACCAAAGTAATTTTGTTGTTGTTATTCCACACTCCTCTGTTTACCTAGTAAGTAGGAACCCAGTTGTTAGTCAATTGGAGGATCACTTTCTGGGGTAATAAACACTCCAAAAAACAAAAAAAATTGTTCACTCAATCCATGACGTTTGTGGGACACTGCTGTGTGCAATCAGCTACCGAGTTTTGCCCACAAAATACACAGTCACTACACTTTTTACAGTATGTTCTGTCAGGTGAACTGTGAAGTGAAGCTTTTTGAAACACCCTAATGATGCGATAAGGTGCTATATCAAATGCAAGGATTATTACTATTATTATTCAACTCTTGGGGTTAAAAAGGGCAAATCCAATGCACTAAAACCCACAGAGCCCAGTTGGTGTCGTCGATGTACTTTATTTGCTGTTTCACCTGTCCGGATGCAGCAATTGGTGCCAACATCAGCACAATACGGCCTTAAAGGATAATGGGTTGTCAATCTTCACAAGGATGGACATAGTATGTTGCCTGGGAGATGACCATGTGCTTTGCAAGATGCCCTCACACTTAATCTATTTTAAACTTTCACGCAAGGCTGAGCAATTGGCCAGCACTGCTAAGAGTGTGCCTGCTTTTGTTCGCCAGCAAACCTAATGCTCTGCTCCCCAGTAAATTCATGTTTCGATCTCTGATCTGCCAATATCTTTTGAAAATAGAAGAATCATATTCGTTTGGGGAGAGGGGGACCGAACAAAAAGTATTCGCCAACTCATTTGGGAGAAATTTCCACTTTTCAGTTATTAGGAGTTTATAAGGGATGCGGGTGACAATGGATTAATCCCATCTATAACCCTACACCCTATCCCCCTTCCACAAAACACACACACTGGTTAAAATATTATTACTGCACGGTGGGGAAGATTTTTTCCTGAAAACCTCTGTGATTTGCTTTTATCATTGGAATCCAGGCAGGCTGAAAGAGTGGCTGTTTCTGAATGGGTTTGCTGACGCAGTTATAGGGCACAGAGGGTTGCTCGATGTAGTTGGTAGGGAAGGTGAGTCAGACAGCTACTTAGAATGTCCTCTTACCTTCCCGTGCTGCCCCAATCGCTCGTAACAAATCACAACATCTTCCCACATCTCCAGCTGCTCAAAGATCTGCAGAGCTGAGCTGCTGCACCCCAGGTCAAACAGTAGCTTGGCAAGCTGCCGCTGAAGGGGAAATGAGAAGAAATAAGTCTTGCTCCTTTAAATGAGATCTCCAGCAATGAATCCATCAGTCTCCTTCTGTATATGCAATTCTGATGAAAAGAACATTTCCTGTATGAAACTTGTAAAATACAATGGCCACAGAGGGCACATTCGCCACGACTGAGAATTTAATCCTTTTTTTAAAAACAGAAAATACTATGTTACCATCAAATACAGCAGGATTTCAGTTATATGTTTGAGGAGCCATTGCTGTGCGTAAATTGGCTCCACCTTTGCCTACAAAATACACAGTAACTACACTTTGCTGTGAAATGTTTTGACATAAGATGCGAGAGCAAGTGCATCCTACTATCACGATACCTTGGCACTTGATTCGAGTCTCCAACTCTGAAACAGCAGTGTGTGCAACATGAAAAAATATTTGTTTAAATACAAATAGAGTAAGTGGCAAGAAAAAAAGTTTAGCAAAAGTATAACACTCAAAATTGAAGCAAGCACTAAAGAGCATTGCTATCTTTGCATTCTTGTAAAAGCTTGTGCGATGCTGAAAAACATGTTCATATGACACAAAATGGTGCCCGTTGAAATGAGGCGACTGAGTTCTGAGGGGCAGAAATCTGAGGCTGTATTGCGCGTGGATATTTCATCTATTCCCTTCCTGGTAGAAATAGTTTTCTGGTGTTGGCTGCAGTAAGGCAGAACCTGCTGTAAGATCCTGCTGAACATTCTGGGCAAAAATTGTGACCTGTGATGTGTTCATTCATGGCAAATACTATCTGGCAAGTTTCCTTCTACTTGTCCAGCTAGGACCACCCTTCCAGTTAGGGCTTTGGCATGCAGAGTTAACAGAAGCTGAGTGTGAAGATCCCTGCTTCCAATTAAGTATCAAGCTAGCTGTTGAAGGCAAGTATTCCACACTAGCAGACTTGCACAATAAAGTCTTGAGTTTTCTGGTGCAGACAGTCTTACAGCCATGCTCTGGAGGAATACACGTACCTGAACAGCCCAGTGAGGTGGCACTTGGCAGCTGTAAAATATCTTCAGGCGCTCAACTACAGGTGCCGTCTTGTCTTCAAAGTGATCTGCAAGAGCCTAAATGCAAAAGGACAACTATTAACAACTACAAGTTTGCAGCTGAGAGGTGTGGCTAAACACAGGCCATGTTTCCAAAATACTGAATTCAGAGCAAGAGACTGGATGTCAGGGCTAACTAGATCCCATGCATAGACAAGAAGGATGAGGCAAGCTAATCACACCAACAACAGCAACTTGCATTTATATAGCGCCCTTCATGCGGTTTAGCATCTCAGAGCACTTACTGAGATTTCTCCACTCCTAACACTTCAGGCTCTGATTTCAGGGTCTGAAAAGCAAATGCATAATAGTCCACTTTTGTATTTTAAAACAAAACTACCAAATGAGTTCAAAATGAACGTGCAAATATAAGTAAACTCGATGAACGAGAAGCACCATTTCAATCAAGAAAAAGATGGTTCAAATACAGAACACACACAATTCTTTAAGAAACTGACCATTATGACACAGCCTCAAGAGGATATGAGTATCAAGATTGTCAGTGGATAAAGGGGAGAGGGAATTTCTTCACTCAGAGAATTATTAGGGTTTGGAATTCATCACCACAATTGGCTATTGGGGATGGATCAATAAAATCGCTCAAACGGGAACTGGATAAACATCTAAGAGGCAAAAATGTTAAGGGATAAGCAGAGAGAGTCAGAAAGTGGAATTAATAAAAGGGAGAAATTTAGTAAAAGCAGTAGCATTGACAAATACGATAGGCTGAATGGTCTATTGTACAGAAAATGTACAATTTTCTGTACCTGAACAGAAAATGCTGCACCTGTACAATTGTCTACCTGAACAGGCAGACAGGACCTCAGTATAAAACAGGAAGACAACTCCAACAATGTAACGCATCCCCAGGATATATTGGAGTGTCAAACTAAACCGCGCAGTTCAAAGCCCCGATTCTAGAATGAAACTCAAAACATTCAGGCTCAGAGGCAAGATAGTCACCAACTGAGCCAGACTGACACTTGTATGAATCTCAACAGGTACTACATCTACATTTTAAGCCTAGGAGTCCCAAACAGACATTGATGTAGAATTTCCCAGTGACCAACTGTGAATTCTTTCTCAATAAACATGCAGCAATGGTGCTACAAAGTTAACCTCAATGCCTGAGCGCTGTAAGACATCAGAGAAACAAAACTTAAAGTTCCCACTGTCCAAATGGACAGCACTACCGACAATGCAACATTTCCCCAGTATTGTGCTGAAGTGTCAGCCTAGACACATTCCAATGTGGGGTTGACCCAGATATAAACGTGCTAGAAATGGAACCATCACAAACCAGATGGACTACAGTAGTGTTTCCTTATGTTCCTGTGTGACCAGAACATCAGAACACCCTTTGAACTGTGTTGGGCGATCTTGAACGTCCACCGGAACAGGCAGACGGGACCTCAATTTAATGCTTGACCTGACAGATGACATTCCTGTGTGGGAATGACCATAAGGCTGTAAAATCTGATCTTGCAGTTCATACAACAGGTGTAAGGTCTCCAGCAGTGATTCAAATGGTTTGAATTGTTTTTGGAGCTCACTAACGAGAAAACTGCCTTGTGTTCTCTGCACCGCTTCGTTCTTAGAAGGCTGAGGGTTCAATCCCAAATTTGAGCTCACAGCCCCGGCGCTGATACTCCATTGCAGTGCTGGTGTTGCGCTGATTGACAGAGGTGCCATCCTTCGGGTGAGATGATAAACCGAGGTACCGTCTGCCTCTTCAGGTGGAATAGAGTGGGGCATAAGGAGTGATGAGAGAGCAAACTGCCTGGAAATCACTTCCAGGTAAGCATTATTCTTGAAATGATGTGTTAATTATATCGGAAAACGGCAATTCAATAAGCAGATGCATGTGTGCTATTCAAAAGCGTGCAAAGAGCACACAGAGGATTCAGAAGCTAACGGTTGTTATGAAGAGAGATGGAGAGTTCCGATTGTTGCATCTCAGGAGAATAAAGTGGAGACTCGGGCAGGGCGAAACGTTAGGCAAGTTTCCTTACTCGATACGCCTCTGTTTACCCAGCAGTAAGTAGGAACCCGGTTGTTAAATCAATTGGCAGATCGCTTTCCGCGGGGAATAATCCCTCCCAAAAAAACAATTTGGTCATTCAATCCACAACTGCTTACGGGATACTGCTGTGTGCAATTGGCTGACGCATTTCACCCCCAAAATATACAGTAAATCCACTTTACAATGTATTCTGTGAAGTGCTTTGAGACTTCTAAACGACATAAGACACTATATTATTATTATACTATATATAAAAACTCAAGATGTCTCAAATTAAGGAAGAAGGCTGTTTAAGAATTTTTAAAATGGACGTGAATTTGAAGGTGGTGTGTTATCAGAATTGTGCACTGAGCACTGACGGTGCCAACGAGATAATGTATCTCTTTAGTACATCGAGAATGATAGATAGGATTAGGCCACACATCATTCTCAAATCTGCATGGGCAGCTTTCCCTCCTCCCTAGCAGTTTACAAAGCTATCCGCCGGGCGCTTATAATATTGCAACCCCATTTGGTTTTTTTCTCCAAACTTCTTCACCTTGTTTTTCAATCACTTAAACAGAAGCCATTTTTCACAATAACCGCCTCGGAATGGCTCCATAAATACAGGGCAATAAAACAGGAGTGACGTGTGGAAGTAAGCCACAAAACCAGACATTAACTAGAAAATAATCATTCATAGTCTGCGCCTATCCACAAGAAAAAAGGGCTGTGAGGAAATACGGAAAAACAATTGAAAATGATGCCTTACATCAATCAAATTCCATACTGAAGATCGCTTAATGTTTTTTCGGAACAAAATTTTTTTCAATGTTGCTGCATGTAGTGTACATTACAAAACAGCATCTTTCTGGAAAATCTCTTGTGAGCATAGAGAAGGAGGTTTAGGGGCAAGGGCAGGTAATTGTAGTTGAGTTACAGGATCAGCCACAATTTTATAAAATGATCGAACAGGCTCGAGGGGCTGAATGGCCTACTCCTGTTTCTATGTTCAAATTATTTTCTAGTACTTATTTAAGACGACTAAATATTTTGTCAAAAATATCATTGAGAAGAAAGGTCACATCTCACACAGCTTTTGGGTAGAGCCAACTGAAGGAGGGACTTCATATAAACTACATGACAGTACCAAATGTGACAAGTAATAAATAACATGTCACTATTCAAAAAGAGAAGGAAGCTTCACCCGATGTCCTGGCCGACAAATTTGTGAGAGCTTGCTGGTGCAAATGTCTACCACATTTTTCTACAAAACCTCACTTGACTTGACTGTAGCTAACCGTGACATGTTCTGAGACGTTTTGACATGATAAAGGTATTAAACCCAACCCTGTGTGAAAGCCGTTATAAATGCAAGGTGGTAAAAAAAAGGCAAGTTCTTTCTTTTCCATAGCAGCTAGGATCAGCCTGGCTCATCTGGTACCATTCTTTCCTCCAAGTTAGAAGGTTCTGCGTTGAAGTCCCACATCGTGGAGTCCTGTAGCTCAGTGGTTAGAGCACTCGCTTTGCAAGCGAGAGACCTGAGTTCAATTCCAGGCAGAGGGCGAAACCTTGGGCAAGTTTCCTTACTCCACACAGAGCCTAATAATAATCCCTTCAAAAACCAAAACCAATAATAAATTGGTCATCTTCAATCCACGACTGTTTGTGGGACATTGCTGTGCGCAATTGGCTGCCGCGTTCGCCCACAAATATACAGTCAATTCACTTTGCAATGTGTTCTGTGAAGCGCTTTGGGATGTCCTCCCGTCGTGAAAAGCGCTATATCAAATGCAAGGATTATTATTATTATTATCAAGATTTTGAGCTCACAACAGAGGCTGACCACACCAATGCAGTGCTGAAGGAGCATCTATTGACACGTGTTATCCTATGGATGAGACTTAAACTGAGTTTTCCTCTGCACCAAATGCAAGGATTATTATTATTATATAAGACTGATCTGACACTCCCTTGTCTATGTTTTAAGTGGTTCTGAACTTCACAAATGCTATTTATCCTCTTAGTGGTATTCACCTGTCCAGCAAATGTTACGATATTTCAAGTGCAGGTTATTGATGAGCAATGTGACCAGTGGGGGGGTGCGGTGGGGGGGGTGCGTGGGAACAGAACATACTCCTCAGGAACTCCACGTCATTACCCAAGGTCACGTGGTATCACATAGAGGCAGGGGAAGCACGTCTTTGAGATTCCCAACAGTTCAAATCTGGGTGGTCCTAATCCTGTGGTGGGTGGAGGATGTGAGCAAGACGGACAAAACGTTTTGTTTCATTGTTCATCATCTTCTGCTTCCTTATTGTTAAAACACTTTTCAATCCAACGCATTGCTTTGAAATGAATTCTGCCAGCCTCACAAGTGGTAGTTTATCAAACACTTCCTGAAAAGGATAAATGGTATCTGCTGATTTACTGTCCCTTAGGTACTTCCTTATATAATTCCAGTAGGTCCATCAGATCCATCAGGCATGACTTATTACTTTTAAACTCATGTTGATGACTCCTTACAGCATCTGCACTCCTTAAAAGAGCATCAATGTCATCCCATATAATTTTACTCCCAAGCACGTTCTCTCCTGCAGAGGTCAGACTAACTGGCCTATGACTTTCAGGTTCATGTCTCACATTTACTGTTTTGTCATTTTCAGGTACATCTCCAGAGTTTATGGAGTTCCTAAAAATATTAACCAGAGACTCGATCATTTCCTCTCACATTTCCCTTGGGATTTAAGAGTGTATCTTGTCTGGCTCTGTTGCTTTGTAGACATTCATTCATTTGAGTGTCATATACTCTACTGATACCTTCTTGCATTATAATAATAATGATAATTATTGTTACATTTGAATTGATGCATTTTCCTGTTGATGCCTTTTACACAAATATATTGGATTAAGACGTGACCCAGATGTGCTGATAATTGATGCACATTCTAAGGTTGAGATGTGGACCTTTCCCACTCTGAGCAAGAGGACATAGACAAGAAAGTCATTCACTGCT